CCTCGTCGTTGTTGGAGAACTGGGCAGTGAGTTAGGATGGTGGTGACGGGGCAAAATCCCGGCGGCACTTCTTCTTTGTCATGGGGGAGGAGGCAGCGTGGCGCACGACAAGCTGGAGAGGCTACAACGGCGCATCCCATCAAGTGAGGCCACGGATCTAGTGACGCTGTGATCAGAACTGGTATGCTTATAAGCAGATCTAGTGCTTCTGCGTTGAATCGGGCCGGGGTGGAACAACTGGCACGACGAGGGCGATGGTAGCAGGAGACTAAGAAGGTTTTAGTAGGCGGTCGATTCAAACAAGGAGGCTAGCAGCCAGTATAGCAATGATGCAAGCGACAACTAGCAGTGCCCAGGTACACCGATAGCGGGCAACGATGGACGAGACGGCGGCTAGTGTTGGCCGAGACGATGTTGTGGGCTATGAAAGATGGTGTTGGCCAAGTGGGAGGACCGGTTTAGTGGAGCTACGGGCTAGCAAAGGTTGTTTGGGTGACAACGACATGTGCAAGAGGGTGCTGCAAATGAAAGCCTAGCTCAGGGTTTCCTGAGGTCACAAGAACAACGTCTTTAGGCGCTGTGATCCCCACTTGGAGCGTTATCGAGCTGCCACCCTCCTCTTCCCAGATAGGACTCTTCGGGTGAAAACCCAATATGGATGGACATGCAACATTGGTACCTTAGGCGTTATGACCTCCCCGGAGGTGTTGTCTAGAAGGTCTTCATTCATCGCATTTGCCGCCTTCTCTTGGTTTGATCACCGGTGGTTCTTGATTTGTTGTCATTAGGTTGGCGAGATAGACCAGCGGATCTCATCATACTCTCTCATCCTCTCCGTCCTCAATCCCACTATGTGAGAATAGGAAGCTCGTCAATGATCTTCTGTGTAGGGTCAAACAAGTGTGGCGTTTGTAATGCCCTTTAAGGTCCATAGATGGTCGTCTTGGTGCTAGTGCTTTTCTCCTATGTTGTGTGAAGAGCTACTAGTATGCGGTGATGTGTTTGATTCTTTTCAGGTTACCATTTTTCAGGATTTCTTGTTTTTTTTCTCATATATCATATGAAATTTCAACTTGTCTGGTACAGTTGTTTTAAAAAAAAAATAGAATATCTTTGTCAATCGGCGTGTAGTCAGCCCAAACATACGTTCTTTACTTGGAGCATTGGTGATGGCATTTCCCCTATTCAAATTTTGAATTGTACTTATGTCAGTAAAAAGAATGAGTATATATAATTGTGTAAATGATTTAAAATAAATAACAAGCTATTTGAAATCTCTCACCCTATTCAGCATTTCAAGAAGATAGCTTGTGGAGATTCCAGCCAGTGGACTAGTGTAACGGGACACCGTGGAGATGTGCCGTGATTTCTTCTATAAATTACTATTAGAAAAAGAAAACGAATTACACCCATGAACTATTACGTGAGTACGAATTACCCCATAAATCCAAAAACCAGACATCTTTTGCTCTCAACTATTAATACCGGATGAAAAGCCCTCTTAACTCAATTAGGAGTGATTTTGGTCTTACATAGCAGTCCAGTCAGTTTGTTTTTTTTTAAAAGAAATCGATGTTACTCTCCTGTCATATTCTCTCCCTGACAGGCCCCCTCCTCTTCTCCCTCCCCCAACTAAACAACGCAATTGCCCAGTACCCACTCCCACACGCTCGACAACCAATGGCGGAGCTAGCCCTCCCGTGCAAGTGGCGACGAGATAGAAAGTGAAGGAGGTTGAGCGCCTAAGTGGCGGAGGGCGGCTAGCTGCAAAGGTGGTGCTACACAGCGGCAGGGTGGGGGAGCTCGAGCGGCGAAGGCGGCAGGGGGCGGTGAGCGGCGGCGACTCCTTCTTAGCCTCCGCCAGGGCCACACGGCTTCTCCTCGACCTCCGCCGGCGTGCACACCCACGCCCTACATCTCTGCTCCGCTGGTGCGCTCCTTCTCCGCACAGCTTCTCCTCGACCTCCACCAATGCGTGTACCTACGCCCTGCATCTCCTCTCCACCGTGCGCGCCTCCTCTTGACATCCCGCTTCCTTCTGGGCACTCGTGTTCTTGCTGCTGTGGTCGTCGTCGTCCTTGCTCCCCACGCACCTGACGCTTGTCAACATCGCCACCGGTGAGGCCATCTCATTCCCAGCATTCCTATCATGGGTGTACGCGCTCGCCGACGGCCTCTGCTCGTGCATCGGGTTGTATCGCGGCGATATGGCATTCGTGCTCGTGTGAGCTCCGCTGTTGGCCGTCAGCGCGCTAGGGGAGGAAGAAGAGAGAGAGATGGGTGAGAGGGAGAGAACGTGGGTCCCACCAAGTTTTAGACTATGCTGACTGGACTGACACGTATGACTAAAACCATCCGCAAAGCTGCTTGGGCCGGTAATAATAATTGATGGTGAAAGATGTTTGGTTTTCTGGTTTAATGGGAGAATTCATGCTCACCCAATACACTAAGGGTGTAATTCAAACTTTTTCATTACTGTTTATGTGTTATTTATACGTGGCCTGAATGGTGTAATAGAGGGGGCACTAGTAATCTCTAATACCGATTTCAGGGCTCTATCCCTGGCCAGAGATTGGGCCATGTGGCGTCCTAGAAATCAAGCTTCTCCTTCCCAAAAATATGCCACGTGTCTCCTGCTCCCCGAAAGTTCGCTGCGATGGACCAACGAAAAAGGCTGGATCAGGAGAAGGGAGGGGGCGCTAGCTAGCGCGCGGAGGAGGAGAGGAGGCGGCGTGCACGGGTGAGCGGTGGCGTCGCGCCGGATCCTCTGTCACCTGCGCGTCGCGGCTATGATGCCGCGGTGAACCACCCGCCGACGGCCCGAGGAGCAGGAGGGATTGCAGGAGGTGGAGGACAGGGAGCGCATCGCAGACTTCTCCTCGCTGATGTTGACGGCGCTACTTTAATCTTGTAGACGCAGGCGCCATCGAACTTCCTGCAAAGGAGGCCATACACTGTCCGTTGTAGCAGCGGCACCGCGGCGAAGATGGAGACGCCGAGGAGCAAGGAGCAGATTGAGGAATGGAGACTAGAGAGCAGCGGAGTCGACGACTAGGAGCGGGAATTGGGAAGGAAAAAAAATGACTTTATTTAGCTGCAACTGAAGACAGCGTACGAACGGCTAGATCCAATGCACAGATGGACGGCTCTAATATTTTGTATGACGTTGCCATCTAAATGAAAAAACAGTGAACATTACATTCAGATAGTGTAGGGGAGAAACTAAAGATCTTATTATATCATTTAACTAAAGATCTTATTATATCATTTGATTGTGCTCTCAGTTGACACTTACAGTTCGGCTGCATATACAAATACTAAGTTGCAATGGGCAGACAAGGCCTCTTTGCAATCATTTATCCAGCATAGAATTAAGTAAGTAGAAGAGAATAAGGAGGCACCAGTATCTTTTGCTTCAGCTTGAGCTACACGCAATTCCAAATTTTCAAACAAATAATTAATCCTTACTCTTCTTTATTGTGTAAATAGAAGTTTTTAGGAGTAAAGTACATTATCGGTCCCTAAACTTGTACCATTGTGTCATCTCGGTCCCTAAACTCGCAAATCGATCATTCAGGTTCTCAAACTTATTCGACTGCGTCATCCCGGTCCCTAAACTTGCAGATCACTCGTTTAGGTCCTCCAACTTGTACGGTTGTGTCACCCCGGTCCCTAAACAGGACGGTCTAAAAACTTTATATCAAAAAATAATTCATAACTTTTTCATGTGAACTCTAATGAAGACAAACTTTATATCAAAATTGTAGCCCTCGACATGACCTACAACTTTGTAGTTGAAAAGTTTTTGAATTAAAACTGTTTAGGGTCCCAAAATATTGTTGCATGTTTATAGATTTTGAAATTTTAATTTTAAAATTACATTTTGGGAAAAAAATGACTTAAAATAAAAAAAATTCAACTACAAAGTTGTAGATCGCGTCGAGGGCTACAAGTTTGATATAAAGTTTGTCTTCATTAGAGTTCACATGAAAAAGTTATGAATTATTTTTAAATATAAAGTCTTTAGACCGTCTTATTTGACTTATATGATATTCAAATCCAAATTTAGGGACCGGGATGACACAACTGAACAAGTTTTCTGTAAGTTTAGGGACCGGGATGACACAGTCGAACAAGTTTGATGATCTGAACGATCGATTTGCGAGTTTAGGGACCGGGATGACACAACGGTACAAATTTAGGGACCGGTGATGGAATTTACTCATTTTTTAATGTTGTGCACTTTTAGAACGTTACGTTTAAAGAATAACAAGACAAAATTATTAAAAAAAAAGGATTTTCTCGATTTTTATAGTCATGTGGAGGCAGGGGCGAGTGCAAACTCACCGACAAAAACTTCATTAAATTTATATGTTAATTTATATGTTATTGAATAAATTGATGATGAAATTTATATAACAAATACTATAAGTATAGTTTGCTTGGGCTCAAAAAATCTTCTAGCTCCGCCAGGAGAGATAAAATAAAAATACTCCATCCATCCAAAAGGCTCGAAAAATTAGCTCCGCCGGGAGAGATAAAATGAAAAAACTCCCTCCAAAAGTCTAAGACCTGTTTCTTTTGGCACCAAGATCAAAGAGTAATTAATTCATTTACAATGTGACAAAACCAATAAACATACAACCAATAAGTAATAAAATGGTTTATTGGGTTCCGATCAACAATTTAATTTAACACATAATAACTATAAATAGGACTTAAACTTTTGGAAAAACAAAAAAATGGAATAAGTCTTAGACTTTTGGAAGAAGGGAGTAAGTAGTTTAATTAATTTGGTTTCATTGGAATTTGGAATTTGTGCGCATATATCCGATTTCCAACTTATGTCTATGAATTCAATGTCTCGCTGCTTTAAATTAAAGGTCATAGTTTGATAATTTCAGGCATTAAATAGATAAAGAAATTAAGTGTACTTATCATACCATATCATTTACTCCCTCCATTCCATATTGATTACCATATAACTTTTTCACCAAGACAAAAAAATATTAACTTTCCTGCATTTCACTTAATGTGAGTATGTGGTAGGGAAAAATCAATAAACATGCACACTTTAACTCCTCTTAGGCCCCATACATAATAGCAGGTCCAGTTATAAACACATTTCGAGGAGATAAAAGAGAATAGAGAAGAGCAGCGAGCTACAAATTTGTAGCCAGCTATAGCACAGACTCCAGACTCCAAGATACATGTGTGTATGACAGGTGCGACCAAGTATGAATTGTGTAGTAATGTTTATAGGTAAGTATTATATGAATTGGCTACTAAATTGACTATAGATGATTTGGAGTCAGTAGTTGGTTATACTGGTATTAAACTTGCTCTATGAAACGATAGCTTTACTACCTTGAATTCCTACATACATGCATGCATACTCAATTTTTATGCTTAAATGCAATAATATTACACGTCGAACGAAGGGCTATGATTACATGATGATCAATTTAAAAATTTTAATTTGTGTTAAATGATGATCAATATGAAACGTACGGAGTATTTCGTACTGGCTGGTCCATTATGCGGCAAAGCCGCATCTATTTTCTACTACCTCCGTTTCAGATTATAAAACTTTCTAGTATTATCCATATTTATATAGATGTTAATGAATATAGACACACATATATGTTTAGATTCATTAACATATATATGAATATTGATAATGCTAGAAAGTCTTATAATATGATACGGAGGAAGTAGTAATCTCCTAGTGCAGATCGCCTCTGAAGATAACAGAGTAATGCACTAATGTGTGCTAGACAAAGCACGTTCGCCCAAGTCTATCAAGCTTAATTTCTCCCCGTTTGCTGGCGCATCTCCTATTACTCTGTCCTCACCTTGCCGATCCTGAGGAAGATTGGGTACCTCACCGTCTTCACCTCCACCCTGTCGCCGCCCCACGCGTCGGCGAACCCGCGCACCGTCGCCTCGTCGAGCAGCTCGACGCCTTTCTCCTTGGCCGTCTGGTACGCCGACCACGACGTGATGTAGGCGAGGTAGCCGTCGAGGTCCATGCGCCGCTCCGTCGAGAACTCGAACGGGCCCGTGTGCGCCTCGCCGTCGACGGGGTCGAAGGGGAAGTCCACGCCGCTGTACCGGTCGTCGACCAGCCGCCGGTTGGGCGCCCAGTACGGCTGCGACCCGTTGTAGAGGCGCCAGAAGGCGTCGTCCACGGCGGCGTCGACGCAGGGCTCGGTGTAGCACCAGGCCGCGAGCACCCCCGCCGCCTGCTGCGGCTGCGGCGCGCGCAGGACGGAGCGGACCTGCGCGTAGAAGCGCGGCAGGTCGAGCCAGTGGAAGGCCTGCGCCACGGTGACGAGGTCGACGGAGCCCGGCGGCGCGACGGCGGCGTGGATGCCGTCGAGGGGGAGGTCCGGCGGCGTGTGGACGTAGCGCACGTTGGGGAGGCGCGGCGCGTAGGACAGCTGCTGCGCGCTCGTGTCCGTGCCCACCACGTCCTTGTACAGCTTCGCCAGCTGCACGCACAAACAAACACACCACGAAGAACAGTCAAAATTATGTCGATTTTGTCAATCATAACGATTAAAAAAATATGCGAGAAATTACACTTAAATTACAGTTAGTCAACTAAGACCGAGATTAACATTGAAAATAGTTATATTTATGGCGCCATATTTTTTACTTAAAAAATATAGTCGGCATGTAGTATTTAACAGCAAGCAAGCAAGGGAGGCTCACCGGCGGGATGGCCTGGCCGCTGCCGGTGCCGACGTCCCAAGCAAGGTCGTGACGGGCCGTCTTAGAGGCGATGAAGTCGAAGAGCTCCGGTGGGTAGGCCGGCCGCGTCGCCGCGTACTGCTTCGCCTGCTTCAGGAACAGGTTCGCCATCTCTCCGGCCTCTCTTGTCTCTTGTGTGGCTCTCGATCGCTGACTCCCCGTGTGTTTGGGTTTCTCACTCTCGATCTGACTTGCCAATTGGTCGTCTTTTGATCAACCGGTTGTGTTGAATGAATTGCAGCGAATTAACAGAGGAAAGCGCCCGCGTATTTATAGGCACGTAGCAAAAGAAACCATCGACAGCAACGACGGTGGTGGTGTGCTAGCTGCTGGTTCTTCGCAAGTTCCTCGGTACGTACTCTCTCTGTTTTTTAAAAAAATAAACCCTGAATTTCCGTGTCTAACGATTAACCGTCCGTCTTATTTAAATTTTTTTTATAATTAGTATTTTTATTATTGTTAGATGATAAAACATGATTAATGCTTTATACGTGACTTGTCTTTTTAATTTTTTTTAAATAAGATGGATTGTTAAACGTTGGACACAGAAACCTAGGGCTTCAGGGCTTGACTTTTTAACGTCTCGCCTGCTGCCGGATCGAGCCAGGCACTTTCTGGTGATGGTAATTTGGAAACTGGTGATGATTGACGAGATCACAAAACCAATGCTTCCTTCCCAAGACAAACGTCAACATAGTATTGGCACAGGCACAATATGCACGTGAATGAAAGGGTCACAAACGTGCTGCTTCCTTCCATGAAGATGCCAAAGTTATCGGAGGCCAAGTTTGGTTGCAGCTGCAGCAAGTACGCTCAACAAATTTGTCTTTCTTAATTTGATCGATTAGTCAGCTCGACAGTGAACCGTACGTGCACCTCTTCGCTACGAAAGTACACGGGCGAAAATAGTCCTGGTCTTTTGGCTGATCGAATCACTCTCCAGCCGATGGGCACTGCGGTGCCATTGACAGCAGGAGACTCAAGCGATGATCGAGACGACTTGCTTAGGGCTTAGGCTGCTTTCGGCAGCGAGCTTTCCCAACTTATAACTCCCGCACACACACGCTTTTCAAACTGCTAAATAAATAGTATATGATTTTAAAAAAAAATTATAAGAAAATTGCTTTTAAAAAATATATTTATCTATTTTTAAGTTAATTTTAAATAATACTTAATTAATCATGCGTTAATAAACTGTTTCATTTTTCGTGCCCAAGGAGAAGGTTCCCAATCCTTCCTAGACTGGCCTATCACCGGTCAGCACCGAAAGGCGGGCTCATGAAAAGGGCATGCACACAAGCGTTCCTTTAAATATTTTAAGTCTATTAAGTACTCCCTCCAGCTGACAATATTTACCGTTTTGACAATAAAACGACAATAACCGCTTTTTTACCACAATCTCTACTACTTAAAAAAAATAAAAAAAATAAGAGATGTTTCCTTCGTCCGTCAAAACAAAATAAATAGCGAAAAAATAAAAAAAAAGTCCGACTCTTGTCAAAACAAAATAAATAGCAAAAAAAATAAAAAAAAGTCCGACTCCCTCTCAGAAACGAAAAAAAAGTCCGACACTAGATCCGATTCCCCCTTAAAAAGGGAAAATACACACCACTCCTCTCGGTCTCGGTTTGAGTCCGAGATCCCATGCACACTCCTCTCGGTTTCGATCTATACCATGATATCCCATACATCTTGGTGAAAAAAATTGATGTGCCGGATTGAAGATTTGTTTGCAAAAACGGAACCTACATGTCGAGAGCATTCCATTTTTATATGATTTTAATTTTTGGGTTTGTACTTTTCTATTTGAGTCTATGTAATTTTTATATTTACATTTGAGTCCCTATAATCTTGCAATAAGATACTTGAGGTCTTGTTTTAAGAAAAAATAATAAAAGAGAGAGAACAAGGGCATAAAGGTGCATAAAAAGAAAAAGCAAAACTGCAAAAAAAGAAAAAAAAGGAAAAAAAAGAAAAACAACAATAATAAAATTTTGTTTCCCCTAAGTGGCGAAAAAAACATAGATCCAATTCCTATAAAGGTCAAAAAAAAAGTGGTGAAAAATAAAGGCCAGATCCGATTCCTTTAAAACGGAAAAATAAAGTCTGATTCCTATAAAGGAGAAAAAAAATCTGAAAAATCATCTTAAAAAAGTTCGTCTGATTCCCTAAGAAATGGCGAAAAAAATGGTTCGTAAAAAATAAAAAGCTGGTTCATACAAAATAAAAAATGCATGCGAGAAAAAAATGGAAAGGGCGAAACAAATTCTGATTTCTAATCAGTATATATCTCTTCTCTATCTCTAATCTAATCTAACTATTTAAAAAGAGATAATGCACGAGAAAAATAAAAATGGTTCAAAAAAATGCGTGAGAAAAAAGCGCAAAAAATGCTAAAAAGGTTTTCCATCTTCCATAAAAAAAACGTGCGAGAAATATTATTTCCATCGTTGGTAAATTTTTTTAAAAAAAAACATGCAAGGAAAATATTGTGAAAAATGCACCATTTCTAAAAAATGATTTGAAAAATCTGCGCAAGAAAAAAACACCGTTTATTAAAAAGCAAATCGCTCTGAAAAAACTGTCAGAAAAAAACGCTAAATTGATGGATGCTTGAGTCGGATAGGATCCATCGATTTTTTTGCCATCTATTACACGGCTTTTATTTCGTCGTATATTCTCCTGTATTGGAAAAAAAGCAAAAAAAAGAACATTAAAAATATAAGCAAAAAACGCGTGAGAAAAGAAAAGAAAAAAGGGAGAAAGATATGGTTTTCGTCGTCCGTAAAAAAAATAAAAAAAAAGCATGCTAGGAAGAAATTCCTATTAGAAAGAAATGTGCCATTTCTGAAAAATGGTTTGAGAAAATCGCACAAGAAAAAATACACCGTTTATAAAAAAACAAGCCGCTCATTAAAATACAAACATTATCATTGACATGATTATGCATGAAAAACGTATATTATTATTAGAATTTATTCACCCGTTGCAACGCACGGGTATTTTTGCTAGTATATATAGAAATATCAAAAAATATATGATTTTATCAAATTACTTTTTAAGTTCAATCACTATATGATTACCATATTTCTAAGAAAAATATTTTAGATGTTATTTAGAGTTAAAATTTTTAGAATTTAACAATAACCTTGGGTTAAAACGATGAGTATTATCAAACCGGAGAGAGTATTAACATTAGGATTAGGAGGTAGTTACTTCATTTTATTTTAAATGTAACTTTTAAATGCACAGAAGCTTCTCTCTAGTTCAATTATTTTTTATTTTGGACAACAACACAATATCCAAAACAGGTACCTTTCACTATGATTTTTTATCATATAATACAAAAAAGTAATTATTTCATTTTTATTAAAGTACTATTTAAAACTAATCTATATAACACGGTGTTGTTACAGTGTCTTCAAACTAAATACTTTAAAAGTTATATAGGTAGTCAATTTATAATTAATCTCAACTGCACAGTGTAATTACAATATAGCTTGTATTTAACTTGTCAAAAATCTACAGGCGGTTGGTTGGCTAGCCACACAGGCTTTCATAATGTAGATTGCAGGTTCGACTCCCTCCCACGCGTGCGACATGCCGACGGTCACAAATTCAAAAGTTCTGTGGAGAAAAACTTGTGAATGGTTTTTTAGCATTCTGTTGACACTATTCTACCGGTAGTACTGTTGGCATTAATCCTTCTAACTGTAGTCCCCTTTAGGCTTTGTTCGGTTGGCCACGGATCGGACAGACGCGGATTGAAACCCGGTCCACAGAAAAATGTGCATTCGGTTAAGCTTGTCGCGGATTGAATCCAGGCCGACCCCGACCTTGCCCTCTCGTCCTGGGTCTTCTAGAAGTGGACAGGATTCAGGCCCTCTTTGTTTAGGCTTATAAGCCAACTTATAAGTCGAAAAGTCTAAGCCTAAACAAACAAGCTGTTGACACTATTCTACCGGTAGTACTGTTGGCATTCTGGGCACGAGGTGTCCTATGCGTTATCCCTAATCCTTCTAACTGTAGTCCCCTTCTTTAGGCTTTGTTCGGTTGGCCACGGATCAGACAGACGCGGATTGAAACCCGGTCCACAGAAAAATGTGCATTCGGTTAAGCTTGTCGCGGATTGAATCCAGGCCGACCCCGACCTTGCCCTCTCGTCCTGGGTCTTCTAGAAGTGGACAGGATTCAGGCCCTCTTTGTTTAGGCTTATAAGCCAACTTATAAGTCGAAAAGTCTAAGCCTAAACAAACAAGCAGCTTTTTTGAAGCCATAAGCCACTCTAACACTATTAAGCCAAAAGTTAGGTTGGAGAAGCTTTTTTGGCTTATATGAGGTAGATGTATGGCTCAACTACTAAACTTAGGACATTAAATCCACCGGCTTATAAATCATATAAGCCAATAAGCTGACTTAAAAGTTTAGGCCAATAAGCCTAAGCCTAAATAAAGAGGGCCTCAGTGACCTTGCCCTCTCGTCCTGGGTCTTCTAGAAGTGGACAGGATTAAGTGAGCCCCTAGCGGTTGTCACTGTAGTCCCCTTTAGGCCTTGTTCGGTTGGCCTGAGAATGAGCGGGATTGAACTGCAATCCCCGTGGATCAGACAGACGCAGATTGAAACCCGGCCCATAGAAAAATGTGCATTCGGTTAAGCTCATCGCGGATTGAATCCAGGCCGACCCTGACCTTGCCCTCTCGTCCTGGGCAAGGAAAGAAACCGCTGCCCATATGGAGTGGAAAAAACCCTCACGCGGAGGAAACGCGGAGGAAACGAGAAGTGCGTAGGGGAATGTGGCGGCGGCGACGTAGGCGCGACTAGCAGTCGACGGCGTAACGGTGACGCGGCACTCCCCTTGGGGACCGTCCCCTCCGCTAGCCACCTTCTCACCGGTGAGTATCTCTTCCTTCCCCTCTCTTCTCCCTGTCCTACCTAGGGTTTGGGTCTTTGTTCTTGGTTCTTTTCTTGCTGGATCGGATTCACTAGTATTGTTTCAGTGGCTGGATCGGAGTAGGGAAATGCAAGCTAGATAGCTAGCTCGGTTCCTTTCTTGCTGTTGCTGTATCAAACAAATTGATTTTTCGAGCTTGATTTGGAGATATCAACATAAACCAAATACTAGTATCAATTTGATGCTATCAGAATGTGCCTTTTGCTGCCTGAATCAAAGCTACTGTGTGTGCTTTGATTCAACAGACTGTGAATACATATTTCTTCATCTTGCAGTGCAGGAAGGAAGGAGTAGGAGTTTTTTGGGTCTATATTCAATATGGCAAAGTAGCAGGATTTGGAATCCCATCATGCTACTTTGTGTGAAATCCCTGCC